GTACCAAGGAATGAAAATTAAAATCGTGTACATTACACCCAAGCATCGCAACGCTCGAGTTTCAACATACGGGTAACTAACTGTACTGAACTTTCTGAGTAAATTGAGGGCGCAATTGCAAACGATGGTGCTTAGCAAAATTTGATTGGCTAAATCTATGGCAGCCATCTTGGATGGTACACACACACAGTTCTGCGTATTTCGAAAATCGAATACATTGGGGTTAGCGCTCTAGTATTCTTATTATATCTCTATGGTACCATTGTTTAATAGCTCTATGGATGGTACACATACATAACTCTGCATTGCTGCGCCATCTTGTCAGCACTCTAGTTGTTTAATAGCTCTATGAGTAGGCCTAAGTACCATGGTGCCATGGATGGTACGGCGTTGCGACTAAACTTGTATAGGCTCATTCCCACAGCCGCTCAAATTTTTCATTTGACCCAATGTCAAAGGTTATATTTTATTTATTTGCGCCGAATGTAAATAATACGCCGAATGTAAATGCACCGAATGGTAAAAGAGCCGAACGTAATGGTAAAAGAGCCGAATGTAACTGCACCGAATTATGGTGAAAGGGCCGAATGAAAATGCGCCGAATGGTAAAAGAGCCGAACGTAATAGTAAAAGGGCCGAATGAAAATGCGCCGAATAGTAAAAGAGCCGAACGTAATGGTAAAAGGGCCAAATGAAAATGCGCCGAATGGTGAAAGAGCCGAACGTAATGGTAAAAGGGCCGAATGTAAATGCGCCGAATGGTAAAAGAGCCGAACGTAATGGTAAAAGGGCCGAATGTAAATGCGCCGAATGGTAAGCTGTTACCAAAGGCAGCGATGGCGTTCCATAACAGTCGGCTGTCCTTTATATTTTCACCTTTTTTAAGTTTGCATTCAAAAGGTACATTGCTGCACAGCAAACTGTCGGGGATATAGTACCTTCATATGACTACTCATACGTATACAACAGAAAAAAACGTCGCATGGAGATGTAAATGAAAAAACGATGTATTTCAGCAAGTATTAAAACATTTTAGTTTTATTTTAGGCCTTCTTCAAAATACCTATGCCTACAGCCAAAATAGTTTCATCCATGCCGACTTTCCGGTCGGTTAGCGTGAGTCCTGACAGAACTCTGCAGAAACTTCACATCGATCTTCCCATCGCGATGTAAAACAAAATGTCAGAAAACTTTTCTTTGACGCATGCGCATTTGCATAATTATCTACACACACACACACACACACACACACACACACACACACACTACACACAATAAAAAACAAAAGAAATGTGACTAAGAGTGATTACAAATGTTACTAAGAGTGATTACAATAGTTCCTATTGCATTATATGCATATGAACTAACGTTCCTATTGTATTACATGCATAGGAACTAAAAAGGAATACTGTATTAAAAGTTTTTACCGAAGTTTAATTATTAGGCTATACTATTTGAGTTTCATTTCCTTTATTCGTCCCGAAAAAAACATTTAACAAGAACAAAAACAACCGAGAAAGATTCCCAAAAGCAAACTGACTCGTTTTTATTCTTGAGTACGTTATGAGTTTATCAGACCGTTATTTGTTGCAAATCCCTGCTCACATGACAGTAAAAGGCAATGCGTTTACACATAATTGTCTTATTTAGGCCTATATTAATTTTCCCCATGATATGCATTTCTATTTTTTTACTCATCATTAATTGTTGGTAGGCCTACGGTATATTAGTAAATTTCGGTCATCCGTCGTCAAATTATACCTATAATGAAACCCTCAGTTTTATTCGTGTAGAATGTAAATGTGTTAGTGTATGCAATTTATTTATTATTAATCAATCAATTTAGGCATTTAGGCAAGAAGCTATAACTACGTGTTGTGATCGCACCTCTTCGGTGAGCGCCGCCGATTTATTCGGCAAGCGTTATACTGCAGGTTCATGAATAATTAAGTAGCAATCGAAATTGAATAATCATCCGTATAACGCTTACGGAAGCGATTTGTTCTTGTTGCAATCGACAAAATGGTTCTGCTGCCCTCTATAATATAAGCTATTCCATTATTTATATAGGGACAAAATTTCATAAGTGAAGAATACAGGTACGTTTAATTCTTTTTATTTTCTTAGACAAAAGCAAAAACTAACGACTTTTTGTAAAGGAAGAAAAAATAATAAGAAACACAAATTAATAAAGAAAAAAGCATTATAAATAATAGAATGGTATACACGTACATACACACAGAAAAAACTCAAAATTCCACCAAAAAATGTCCCTTTTAATTCACACGAAAAATAGGCATTTTTACAAGTATATATCGGGTGTGGCTCCGCTATACCTACCCAGGCCCTTTGCAATGAAATTTATGTACAATGCTTAGAAATTTACACTAGCTCAATAGATTGCTAAAAGCAAAAATCTGTCCATATGCTTTATGACAAAGAAAAGCTATATTCTTATACATTATTTATTTATAACAAATTTGAAGCATTTTCTATACTTTTCTTGGTCAGCAGTAGTTTTATACAAATCTGTAACAATACTAATAGAGCTTTCTACTCAATATCCTCTCATCTTTTAATATTTTTTTTCACACAATAAGTATAGGCTATATTTAAGGCACTGACGCAGGGTGAGAGATCCACAAAGTTCTTACACAATCAAGTATATTAGACAACATAAGACATCAATGAATATTAGGGTGATGATGAATCGATGGTGCAAATAAACAGTGATCATGCAATGGCTGTGGAAAGATACCACAAATACAAGATAGAGCACTCGCACAGAAAAATTGAGAAGGAAATTGGTCCAGACGTACGCGGCGCCCTTCTCTTTTTATAATGTAAGTTTTCTATACTTAGTTCAGATGTACAAGGCACCCTTCTGTTGTAAAGTATATCCAGACGCACACGGCGCCCTTCTTTTTTTCACTTATGGAGTTAAAATATGTCATACGATTCATGCTTTTGTGTCTGTTTTTTTCTTGTTTTACTATATTTATGCCTACTTGTTTGTATCTTATGGATAATGGCAACGATTTCAACCTCCGCAAAAAAAGGTTAGGTATTCACATTTGTGTAACGGTGACAGTTTTTTTAGATCCAGCCGTATGCGGCGCCCCATTGTTTGTATTCCCACTATGCATTTCGGTTTTTTTTTTTGTTGATAACTCTATCTTGTGTTTCTGGTATCTTTGGTAGTAGTAGTATTAGAAGTAGTTGTAGTAGTAGTAGTAGAAGTAGTCGTGTAAGTAGCAGTAGTGTGTTTCAGTTATTTTGTCATTGCAATTGAAAACGGAATATCAGCAGAACAAATCATTAGGTAATAACTATTAACATTTTCATCCGTTAAAACTGCATTAGCTCCGGTAAAATAATACCTTTAGTAACCAATGACAACCTATTTTGTTGGCAAACCTACCAATTAAAAATAAGAAACCATATCAAGTGAATTTTTCCAACAACATGTCGACAACGTGCAATCTACGATCAGAGCCTGCTCTTTCTTGAACTTAAAGTAAACCACTTACTTTTAAAAAATTATATAGAACAAAAACAAATTCACATTTTATATGTACTACAATTTCATATTTACACCATATGAACATCAGAAGTATCTTAAAACTGGTTCAAGATAAAAATGTAATAGGTTATTTTGACAACATGTATCAGCTATTGTTGTTTATCCCATTTGTATATGATAAACAACAATAACAATAGCGCAATAATAACAATATGAAACGACTATAGTAATAACTATAATAGTAAACAATTATAATTGTACAATAACATTAGATTACAATAACTATAGCCAATAAAATAATTCAATTAACCAATTACTTATAATTAATGCTGTTGTGACAACAACAAAACACATGTTTAAATTTTGAACTTTAACAAGCAAACCACATCACACATACATGACTGACTCATCAACCAATCACAGTCTCCCATTCACCTGAGGACTACGTACTATACAATGACATTTTTTAAATTCCTAAAATGGAAATTTTTAAAAATACTTTTAAAAGAAAACAACACTGAATTACACTAGACTGACAGAATTTAACTACTAAAGAAGTTAATGGAAAAAAATATCTATGCGAGAGTTATCAATCACAATCCTAGAGTTTAAATCTTTAAAATTATCTACATTCAATGTTTTGGTTTTTAAAAATGTATGCCGTCATTTGACAAAACCTGCTAGGGACACTAAAAACCCCCTAGCCTGGCAAAAAAATCTTATACCTTTCTAGAAAATGTCATAAATTTCAGAAATATTTTTGTTTTAAAAACTTCAGAATATTAAATTTTTGAAAATAATGGCAAAAATAATAAGAATTATAATGATAAATTATACATTAATAGAATAACAAAAAAAAATAGAATAATATAATAATAACTTACTTCAATATTCAGATTCTTATTTACAAGATAACACTTTATTATATCTCTGTCATCCAAAAATGTAAGCCCCAAAAAATAGACTATCGACAACATCTGGCTGAAACCAGACGAACATCTACATGCATCAATTGAGACAGCTGCTAACGAGGTAGAAGCAGCAGTTGCTACAGTGTCTCTACAAGCTGCCTTTGTTTTTTTTTTTTTTACAACACACTCTCTCACCTTGCAACAAAACAAAATCAAAATGTCCGACAACAACCAATTTCCTCTTATTACAACAGAACAACTTTGTTTACATAGAAATACAGTAAGGTTTTATGTTACATAACTTTGACATATACACATTAAATCATGATTGATAAAGCAAAAAAAAAAAAATAAACATTTCAGTAACCCTAGTGATCTCTCTGTAGCATGCCAGAGTACATATTATTGATACATCATAACTCATACAAATTAAATAAAGATTACTTTTGGTGAAGACCGCTATTAGGAAGTGAAAAATAATGGTCAATAATTACCAGATTATGAGGTCTCATTTTCTGGTAGTTCGCATTATTTTTCTTTTTTTTTAAACTTAAATTTGTAATGCGTGTAAACGCACACGTGTTTTTATGTGCATAAAAAAAACGCACATCAAATAGTTATTCTGGTTAACAAAATGGAGATCATGGCATCACCGACTGGACTTCTTATTTGAGAATAGAATATACAAGTCACTATCACCTGGTATAATAATTTGATTTATGATTGCTCATTAATATTCATTAATTAATTGTTTTACTCATCAATATTCATAGCTTAGCGAGTTTATCATAACCAAAGTTTAAATATTAAATGAGTTGTATTTATCACTATTCATGAGGATCTTCACCCATCAATAAAAATTCATAATGAAAGTTGTCACCAATGTATATTATGAAATGATTTTTGCTCAGCAATATCCATGGTATAGAATTTCACTCATTAGTATTCATAATTTAATCAGTTTTGCTTATAAATATTTATGAGCTTGCAATATACACGATACACAACGCCACACAGTTACGGTATTTGATACTTAAATATTCCATAATATACTGGATAAAGTACTTCATTGATACAAAATATATTCAATGTATTTTACTTTTAAGTAACAATTGTATTTTTCCAACTTGCAAATACTAAAAATAAACTGATCATTCCATTAAAAATTGAATGGAATATTTAATTAAGTACAATCATTTGATGCATGTATATGGCCGAATAGGTGCACAATTAGATGAAATATCACATTTAATATCAATTCAATCGTTTGCTAATGACCTACCCCTTATATAGGGAATCGTATATCTACTGCTTCTGAGTAACAAATTGATGGAATATATCGGCCCAATTATTGGTGACCGCAATTCGAGTGGGAGGAGACACATGATTTGCATGTGTGCTAGGCTGCGGAATCCTCAGATACAACTCATGATTTATTAATCAAGGGTGTTCTTTTTTTTCCTCAAAGGTAGAACCATAAAGACCATGGAAGACTTGGTAACACACACCTGCTACATTAGCTCTCTTTATAGAAGCAATTCACAATCTATGCCCTACATGTTATGTAGGGCATTGGGGTAAGTCTAAGGGACGTATGTATGTGTAAATGGGTCCAAATAGGAGTAGAACTGTCTATTACATGGTGTATTTTTGGCTATTTCTGTATGAGTATGTGTGTGTGTATAAATATATATGTGTCTATAAATACAAGATATATGCATGCAAATTCATATTAGGCTGAATCAGTATGCATGTTATTTTTTTTTTTTTTTTTTTTTTATTGTTTGTCCTGTACTGATAGTAATGATACGAGAAAACTGTCAGTAAATATTTGAGACGATAGAGATATACAAAATTGATCCCGCTCCTTAATTTGTTTTATATTGGCTTGTCATGTATACTTTATACAGGCTTATAGTATACTTTAAATTTCTGAATACAAATTGAGAAAAGAAAAGGGCATTATTAAGAAAATGTATCAATAGTAATCAAAGAATTTATGATAGAACAAGACTGAACCAAAAAAAGAACTTGTTCATTGAGTATTTTATCTTTTCATTTGATAAGCCTACTTTATCTAATGATTGGGGCTACGATGACAGAGGGTCATGACAGCGTTGCAGACAGCACGGAGCAGTTGTTGGTCGTTTATCTTGTTGTAACAAGACGGAGCACTCTCAAGGACCATGCTGACGTATGTATGTTTTGTACGGTGTGTCCTCATTTAACAATACAAGCATCCTCGGCCAGATGCTCTGAACAAGTCAACTGACAAGAATATTTTAGAGTTCATTAATTCCCGGAATTTGCATCACATCTTTATCATCATCATGATTATTAATCTTCGGCAACACGCAACTGGTATAATAAATCAGCCCTGACTAATTTTTATTTTATTTTCAATAAGAAAAGTTACTTAATCATCATTGTTATTGTTCTGGTATATTTGTGAGTTTAGTTATTTGATCATGCAATTAAAGTTCCTTGAGTCTTTAAAATAGGTAGAATATTAGGGTTCATTGATTCAAGGAATTGAAATACTTAATATTGAATTTGAAGTAAATTTCTTCGGGTTCTAATAAACCTTGTTTTTCGAAAGTAGTTTTCAATTACAATTCAATTTTCATCGCGGTGCGGTGCGATATCTTCGTGGTGACGAAAAATTAGGCTTTTTTTTTGCACAGGAACCTAAAAAAAATCAAGCCAAACGTCCACTAATTGAAAAATTATTGGACTGTCGGGGATAGGCAAATAACATTGGGAGTTGCAGTGATGACGTCACGATTGACTTATAATAATGATTAGTGATAAGCATTATGACAAGGTTGCATTTGACAAAATTACGGGATTTTCTAGGACTTTTTATACAGTATTAAATAATTATTATGATAATGACTGGTAATGATAATGATAGTGTGTGCTAATGATAATGATGAGCGATGATGATAAAGATCGGTGAAGAGCATTATGACAAGGTGGCGCTGATATAATTGTGGAATTACACAACTTTTTATTTAAATATTTATGGTCTTAAGAATTTGAACTATGAACCCAAAGTATATCAAGAAGCAGGTGATGACAATGATGCAGACACATGTTACCATTTTTACAAAACAATTATCTTAAAAGTTGTACGAAAGAAAAATAAAAATAATTTTAACGTATTATTCAGCATATTTTCATTATACATTGTAATTTGTGGACATAGTGAAAAACACAGATGCTAACAAACCTATTTGGCGCTCCTTTTATAGACATCTTACGTCATGGAGCAAATCTGTGAGGAGTTTACAAAAATATTGTATAGCATTTGCTAGTGCATCCAAGTTCTGGGGAAGCAATGGGTTTGGTCTTACTCTCTTCAAGTTTCCGAAAGAACACCGGCTTCACGTTCTGCGGTTTTTTTTGAAAAGTATCAAAAATAAGACCTCTTGAAACAGCCGTAAAGCTAAGGGGTACCTGGAGATTTTGCAGCATTGCTCTATGACACCCATGCCTCATTTACCCGGGATCGTTTGTGCGGTGGCGCATCACCACTGTGCATTGTGTGCAGACCCCGCTCATCAGCGTACGAAGGAGAAGACTGTCCATGGTGTGAACTGGCTGACGTAGTCTGCACGAGTAGACCGCCGTGTGAATGTAACTTCTTGTCCTTCGGTGGTGAGATTGGCTCGCATTTAATGTTCTGGTCATTTAGGTTCATGCCCTGGACTCCTGACCCAGCGCTGAAATATAGACAGTGCAATACAAACGTGAAATTACATGGCTTGAAATAAATGTGTGATTTATGAATGCTTCTAAGGAGAAGCATAACATCTAACTTTCAAAAAAACCATTTTCAGACATTTCATAAATTAAAACGACTAATATGTCACAAATGTCAAGTGAAATATTTTGTAAAAGAATAACAGGGGGAAATTAGTAAGGCAGTATGCAGTAATTTAAATACATAAACTTTAGTACAAAGATCAATCTTTAATGTCAAATGTAAATATCATTATTATTTGTAATATATATCAATATTGGTGATATTTGATTTTCATTTTAAATTGACGTTCATTAATAATATCATCTTTCTAATGTGCTGCTTGTAGACTAAAATTTACAAGGCTTAGAGAGTGGAGATATTAAAAATTATCTGAAGGCAACCAAGGCCTCAAAGATGAGAAAGATAATCCTGTGCCAATACAGGCTTTGTTCCCAAGTACCTGGGATTGAAAAAGAAGCATGTCCACTACAATTAGGGTTTGTATAATTGTCTTACATCCAATAGCCTGTACTACAGTATGTATTAAAATTTAATGAGGGGCGCTTTTTCGAGGGAGACGTTTATTCAAGGGAAGCACTTATTATTTTTTCTAGTGTAAAATTGATACATGTATACTCAAATAAATGTCCCTTAATATCACTATTAATGTGGAACTACAATATTACTACCAACAGTGTTATTGCATGATCCTAAAGACTTATTTATCCCAATCAGCTTTTACTGCTAGAATGTGTTGAGAATGATGTTTCTTCTATTAGTCTTGTTTAAAGTCATTTCGGGGGTGTTTGTTCGAGGGAGACATTTATTCAAAATGAGGCTCTGGAGGGGGAGTTCATTCGGGGGAGGGGGAGGGAGAGCGTGTATTCAATGCAATATGTTTGTAGAGGATACGTTATCTAAAAAAACAAAACAGTAAATATGACTAAACATTATTGGAAGTACATATTAAAATTTAGGAATAATAAGACTGTTCGATTTAGGGTCTGTCAGAGGCCAGGCTTCAGTCATAGCCATACAACAGGATGCACATCCTCATATACCAATTCATCTCGACTCTAAAATATATCCTAGTAACCACTGACAATCAGCAGGCCTTATGCCATGAAAAATCATGTGAACTAAATAAACGCTATTTAAACTCAATCATCTCAACTACAGGAAAACAGGTGATATTAATCATTGCAAAATTATTTTGTGTTGAAATATTTTAAACCTTCCTCAGACATTCTATTAAAAATTAATTGCTCCAAGTTAAAATGATTAATTATAAGTTATCAACTTCTAATATGACACAGGGCAATATTTACCAAGAAAATCCTAGTCCATATGTATGACCAGTATTATTTATGTAAATTAACAGATAGATACTTTTGCACATTTTTGGAATGTCAGAATGTGTTCCAATTATTATTATTTTAATGCAACATTTAAAATGCTTAGGTATGCTTTGGTATATAAGTACAATTTATAAAATCACATCTTGTGTTTCAATACCAGCTGTTACAGAATGTGACAGTCATGTTTGTTCCATATTGTCTAACTGCATATATTCACCTAAAGGTTGACCGAAAATGCGGCTGTGAGCTACTTATTCCTAAATGAAGTTCTTGATTTGGCCTGATTTCCCAAATTAACCCATATCAAATCATCTGTTAGTATTACTGTAAGCTAAGTTTGTCTTATATTTTGGTATTGTAAATTAGATAAAATAAATCAATAAAATTGATACTAATTTTTTAAAATTATATGATGTATTGTAATGATAAATAAAGTTTATATACCTAGAGCAGCAAAACATTATAAAGTAATAAAAAAAAACTGAACTAAAGGTAATATTTATCTCTTTATTATTATTATTTGGGAACATATTAAGCATTCAGTACAATAACACATCAGGTAGGGCAAAAAATAATTTGATGGGCCATTGGAATAGCATTGCAGTTCCTGCTGTTACTTATGGGATCCGATTCATCACTAGCCACAAGCTCGGTGGTCTAGTGGTTAGGACACCAGGCTAGTTATCTGGAGGTCGTGGATTCGATTCCCACCTGAATCACTTGCAAGATTTTTTTTTTGCAAGTATTTGGGAATGTACTGAGCATTCAGTACAATAACACGTCAGGTTGGGCGAAAACATCATTCGTAATATTTACCTTGCAATAGTGTCAATACCTTTCAAACTAAAGAAATGTTAAACAATTAGGGTAAATCATGGAGGTCTGACTGACTTACTGATTTTATATTAATATGATGATTGTTTTCTTATTGATTTTGAAATTAAATTCTTACAGTGGATGATGAGAGATTCCTGCTGCTTGGACAGCAGCAGTCAGAGGTCCCTGCTGATGATGCGGAGAATGTTGCCAATTGGTAATGTTCATCTGCTGGCCATCAAAACTGCTCTGCATGTGTGCTATGTTTGCACTATTCAGTGGAAACTCCCCTCCTATCAACAACAAAAATACATCTTAAAGTGAGTTAATCTATTTGGCTAAAATAAGAAAAGAAATTAAAACATTAACAAATAAGTATATTAAACTGTTATAAGCATTAAACACAAATTAGGGCCTTGTCAATATAAAATTTAGACCATATATGGGCATGGTGATGTAATATTAACACTAAAAAATGGGCAACATATGTGGCAAAGACAAGCCAAACCAGTCACTCATTGCAAATCCTGTTTTGGAGAAATGGCCAAAACATGCTGAAATGTTAAAATTTAGGAAATTTATTTTATTGGACTAAACTAACCTTTACATATCTATACATCATGCTATGCTGTTATTTTCCCCATTTTCAATATTAAAACAACAATTTCTAATGATTTGTTGATGGTTTCTGCCTAAGAAATGCCTGAAATCGTAAACTAAGCTGATTTCTCAAATATTTTTCTTTAAACAGCTGTATTTTTAAACTCCTGTAACGTCATAACTAAATGTCGGATTTAAATGATTCCTTTACCATTTTATAGCTCTCATTTTATTGTTTAACCCTGTATTAATAATTAAAAATTGCTTTTTGCGACGGGTGACTGGTTTGGCTTGCGACGGGTGACTGGTTATGCCACATCACATCCATAGTATCATACTTAATAGTTTTAATAGCATGGAACACTTAAATTGGTTTAATTTACCTGCTTGGTATGCCGTTGCCATGGCTGATGGATAGTTCGGTGCTCCCTGTGGGTTGCTAGGGGTTGCTAAAGAAACTGTTGGTGTTGCTAGATCATTTAATTGTCCCTGTAATGAGAGAAAAAATGAGAGAAAATAAATATAAATAAAATTACAAACTGTTAACAACACATATTCATTGCACAATGGGGGACTATTCGTAAATCCATTACTTTTATCATTGATCACCTTTCCTTCGACTATTGAAAATTTTCTACAAAAACTGACAGAATAAAGTTAGAATCAGTGTTCCGTGTCCATGTGTACTTGAGAAGAAGCTGGCAATACACCAAAAAATTATTGAAAATAAATACAAACGAATGCCATTGCCAAAAGTATTCATGTGTTTTACACAGTGATTCTAGTTTAAAGTCATCTTAAATGCCAAATGTGAAGCATAATTGATTAAGAGTCATTTGGAATTTGAGAAGAATCTGAAGAAACAGACGACCCTATGTTGCGAGCTCTACAACTACTAATTAACAAGGGGAAGGAGGGAAAAAATAAGTCATTGATACTATAGTATTTGTCATCTACTTTATTACTGTACAGTACAATAAATTTCCTTGTAACTTGTATTAGTCTAGTTGGCCTTTGAAAATGAGAAAGTCTAAAAAATTTAAGTGAACCACAAGGTACATGTATCACTGTATATTTCTTCAGGTAATTATAGCCTTTGCCTGAAGATGTTCTCTGTGTGAATAAATACTTGTGGTTAAAATATAGTGTGTTATTCTAAGAAGTGTTGTCATCATCATATTTTATATTTTGATAGCTACCCACACTATTTTATATAGTGTATGGTTGTGGGTATATTTAGATGACATTCTAAAAAAAGTTAAACCACCAATCTGGCAAACACTCATTATTGATTTCATACAGATGACACACCTTGTAATCAACCCATATTAAAAATGTTAAATCACTAAGAGGTGAATGTTTTACTGAGATTGATAAAATAAGTTGGTTTATGCCGATACAAAGCAGGCAAAATTGGTCTGAATCTAGCACATGAGGGAGTGCTTTTTACAAAAATAGCTCAGTGTGCTACCAGTTGCGTGGAGAAAATAAATGTTATGATAAGCTTGTTATAGCACCCCCTGGGAAAGCTTGCTTTGAGATAGTTTTGCAGCAGTACTGTCAGCAAAATGGACATTCAAAATTAAAAAGTAATGTAGCAAACATTTTAATAATGTTCATAAGCATGTGTGGCAAAGACAAGCCAAACCAGTCAATCGTGTTTCAGAGAAAATGGCCAAACCATGCTGGAATGTCAAATTTTTTAAAATCTATTTTATTGCACTAAACTAACCTTTATATATCTACAATATATCATTCTATGCTGTTATTTTCCCCATTTTCAATGTTAAAACAATACTTTTTAAGGATTTAAAGATAGTTTCTGCAGGAGAAATGCTTGAAATCATAAACTTTGACGGTTAATTTCTCATATATTGTTCTTTAAACAGCTGTGTGGTTAAACGCTTTTAACTTCATAAGGAACTGTCCGATTTGAATAATTTTTTAACCATTTTATAGCTATTATTTTACTCTCTAACACTGTATTAATAACTCAAAATTTTTGCGACGAGTGACTGGTTTGGCTTGTCTTTGCCAAATATACGGACTTGGTTTAAATTTTATAAAATTTAAACAGACCTGGTTTTTAGAAAAGGCGTATTGAAATATTAATTTATGGCAGAAATATATAAGCTCATTAAACCTGTATCCTAAGTAGACAATGTTACCTTGGAAATGTTTGTAACAAAACCACATGGCAAGTCATTAACTTAAAATAAATGTCAATCTGTAACTATAGCATCTGTTGATATACTAACATTTTATTATTATTCTTTTTTTAAATTTTTTTTTTCATATTTTCCCCTTTATGGATCACAAACTTGACATTTAGTCTTTAGTACAAATTCCCATTTAAGTTACTTTAGACACATTCAAACAAGCATATTATTTTAACTTCATTTGCAGTATTAATAATTATATACTGCATACATAGATTCCAGGCATCTAATTGGTTAAAATATGGATAATAATTTCAACCATCAGTCCTATGACGTAGGTTGAATGATCATAAATTCCCAGGGAAAAAAGTACTATCACGTCAAAGCACAGTACTTTTTTCTCTATCAAGATGTAATTTCTAGGCCCCACTTATAACGTTGCTGTGTAATTTATGACATGCACAGACAGTACAGAGGATGGCAACCTCTACATCGAGAGAGGTTAGCCCTTTGACCACCTAGGCCTACTTGGTGGTTACTCTTTTCATTACTTTTTTTAGGCCTCGTTTAATCTATGTATGTGGCATATAAAACAAATATTAACTACAAAAACCTTTTTTAGATAATAAAAAATTATTATTTGACAAGTATTGATTCATAAATCAACTTCCCTTTATTGGGTGTTTTTGGATTTTTTTTTTTTTTTTCATGTTTTTCATCTTCTGTTTAGAGCAGCTTCTACACCATCTTTAGAATTTTGAGTTGAGTTTCCTTTTAATCCTAATATTGGCAGAAATTCAACCTGGACTGGATTTGATCAAAGAAAAGGAAGGAAATCAGCGATTGACCTTGCATTCAGACTTCACCATTCGCCAATGTCTTCCTCAGCTTCTACAAACTCCCGCGCACACACAGCAAAAAAAAAATAATATGTCTTCCTCATTTTAACAACAAAAGATAAACGTTGAACCTCGTACAATAGATACTGACGTAGATGGAAACAATTATTTTTATTTATAATATATAATTCTGAATAATTACAGTATAATAATTGTTAAATAAAAATGTTAAAAAATAATGATGTACATTATCATATTAAAATATCATATAAAATATTACAATAGAAATTATATTTTGTAAAATAATATTTAATATTAAATAATACACAATTTTTAGAAAAAAAATTAAAATTGTAATATGAAAAATAATATAAATAGTTAAAAAATTAATATTAATTTAATATAATATCAAAAAAAGCAAAAAATTATTAGTCATATTGTAGAAACTTCAAAAAATATCATACAAAAAGCATGAGAAACTACTTCTTGAGATGTTTGTAGGTCATAACATCAACCCCTGGGTAATAATTAGTTCACACTGCCTGTGGTATTACATCTATTTTTGTCAATTCTTTTATGATAGCAATCAAATACCTCGAATAAATGTGTTTAATTTAATTTGAACATGGACCTACTCTATGTTATTACTATTATTATTTTGTATTTTTAGTACAGTAATTATTATTTATTTATATCATTTGAGCAATAATTGTGAAGGTAAGTCAACCTTTCCGACTCGAGTGAGCTAATTATTAGCCACCCTTACATTAATGTACACACTAATACTTTATTATTATATAAAAATAAAGCTATATAAACTTAAGTCCAATAAGTAACTTACAGTCTAACAGTACTTGATTAAGTCTAAACATTGACATTAGAAATATATTTTTAAGGTGAATTGAAAAGAAGGGATAGATGTTGAAAATAGCAGGTTTGTAGGAAGGTTATAGAGGGAACCCGGTAAAATAGATTTCACATTAAGGCCTAGGGATCTTATTTTGTGAGTTGTTATGTTACCATCTTTCCATCAGCAGAGTAAACAAAATTTGTTTGTTTTGAATCAAAGACAATTTTCAAGATTTGGTTTATGAAACATACCTTATCTTGGGAGTTTCTGAATATTATTGAGTGTAGTTGATATAGAAGCCCAACATGAGCAAAAGTTATCAAAGCTTATGAGGATAAGAGCATTTATTTAAGAACATCATGGTTACAGTATTTGACACTGACATACCATACTCCACCTCCAGACTTATTGGATGATGTCAGTGATGTGAAATTTCTTATGAGAGTACAAAATGCTTTTAGTCTGCTATGAGACACTGTTAAAGACCAGATGACTTGTCAATGCCAGTTCTACTATGATCAATCTACTGAACACTCAATCAAAATCATTGTTACACCAGCAACATCGAACATCAACTTCATGCTTGGACGATTAGTTATTTTTTACGATTTTAGGCTGAATCAATCCTACTCATATATCTTTTGATCATATTACAAACAATAAATCAAAAAGACGGTTTACTGACTAGTAATTTTACACACACTAGCATGCAGACGTTTTTGTTAAGTTTTTGTGATTTGAATGAAATGTAGTACACATGTAAGTGGAATCAGGGACAAATTACACCAACCAAAATGACTGCCCAAGAGTAATGTGAAATGACAGTTCAGTTGGGTGAATCACTCTATAGAAAAAACAACTCCAACAATACCAGAAACATAATGTGGTGAGGAAATCAGACAAAATTATAACTAATTATAAAAATTTATGTTTTGTAGAAATAACTGAAGAAACATTTTTCTGTCACTACATATTCATACAAAAAAATATACAAAAAAAATATATATATAAACATATATTACTCGGCTGTTACAAGGGAAAACAACATAACTTTAAAAAAAACATATTCGTTACCCAAACACCAAGTAACAAAATTATTATTAAATAATGCTATGTGTGAATTGTTGAAGGTTGTTGAAGGTTGTACTTACGTGAGGGAGCATGCTACGTGACGTTGGTATCACCACTTTCAGGTGCGGTCGTAGATTAGCCGGTGAGGTCAACTGCTGTTTCTGCATGTTCGGAGCTTTAACCATCAAATGATTGTTGTTACTGACCGGGGACGTGGCTCCTGGATGACCCAACACTTGAGAATGGGGGACCTGAAGGTATCCGTTACCTGAAAAGGAAATTTTCACACGGCTTAAATTAAATAAAATGGGACGTAATGCATGTTGAGAAGACATAGATTGGAGGGCATGCGTAACATGCACAGTTCATAGTTATGCACCAATTCAAACACAATAACAATACAAACCAGTACACCCGTATTATAATTGTAAGTAGCGTTAGTCGTTTCGACACCAAAACAATCTACTAACAATGTGTTAGTTATCTAATACCAAGCAAAGCATTATCAGATTAAAACATAGAAAAGGATGATCAGATGAAAGGTGGGACATGAGAGGTAATGAACTGAATAAGATGTAAACTGACAAGAAGTGTGGAACTATACCATTAATGAATATTATTGTTTATATAGACATTTTTTTTTTTATATTAAAATGTGTCTACTGTAACTACCAGATAAATAAATAGCATATTATTAAGGTAAATAAAAGAAATATGATACATAACTCTTTTAATTTATTTTATTTCCATTGGTTTCAACAGCAAGTGCCATACACTCACAAATTACACAATAATTTGAGTTCATAAAGGTTTTGGAGTGAAGATGTTATCTTCTGTTTTTGAAGATTCAAATATAGGTACCCGACTTTGAAAATCAAGCCCTTAAAGTTTCAACACAATTGGTGTATCTCTTAGCTGGTGCTATTAAAATATATTCAATTTTTATAAACTAAAGACTATATTCTTATACAATATATATACTGTCTCTTATACACATCTAGATGTGTATAAAAGACAGGGATAAGAGCATTGACTCTAAATCGATTAAATAAACCTTTGAAACCCCTAAATTTGTGAAATTTTTGGGGGGCTTCGCCCACCGGGCCACTTTCGAAACCTTTTAATCGAAGCTCGACCGCGCCCACAATGCTTTCGTCTGGGAAATCTGACCCCTCGTCGGGGACCTTGGCCCTGCCCCCGTCGGGCAAATCCTGGCGCCACCCCTGTATCACAGGTCAACTAAAATCAATTAAGTTATGTTTCTATTATACTTATCTGGTTTTTTTTATAGTTAGTTATAATAGTTGATTGTTATGCATGCTAACCAGCTTAACAAATTTGATGTTATACTTTAAACTACACTACTTATATATAGTTGCAAGTGAAGTGCTATTGTAGTACAAACCTAGTTGTAACTAGAACTAAAGTGTGTTCAAATATGGTGCATTATGAGGCCTAGGTAGATAGTTATTTTTAGTGAATATGAACGAATGATTCAACGTCATGATATGGACTACCTCAACCACTTGACCATAGCAATCAATGATAACTATAAATGCACTACACTTCTACCTTGGCTATACATCTACTAACTACAAATTGAGGGCATTATGAGCTATTGAATGGCAATTTTATTACCAAAAAAAAAATATTGGCAGTGATCAAGAAATGTAGTCAGCAATACGAGACAATCACCATTTACCAGAGATCATCATGAAAATATCAGTTTTGACTTGAATGCTACAGAGACAACTATCAACTCATTGTTAATAATTCAAAATAAAACTAGGCAACCAGCAGGTTTGAATAAAAATAACTAAAAATGCAGGATGGTTCCTATGGATGTATGGATCCATTTAAAACCAGCATTGTCTAAATTACTTATGGTACAAGCAAATGTGTACATCATTAATATTAAATATAAGTCTGGTTTATTCTCTTTTAATTAATGCCTGAATAGGAGTCGCATCGGTTTCAACAAAAAAACAACTCCACACCCTAAATCTAATATTGTGATCTAGTTTGTGTAAAGCATTGTGTGTGTGGGTTTGTCTGGCAAAAGGGATCGTCACGTAAAAGTAAGACAGTGATATATTCGCCATTGACAATCCTTGGTGCATGTGTTGTGTGCTTTGATAAAATAAATAATGGCTTTTATCTCAGTAACAAGTGAAAGTTAATATACTATAGCTGGCTTGCACCTAGGTTTAGAATATATAGGATGACACACACCCACAGCTCATATGTGAAGTAGAGGCCGGGGTACCTAGTGGGATTTATCAAAGGCAAAACCTGCAACTCAAATCTGAAATCTACTTATCATCAATTATTAAAATAAGAGCATAATTTTAAGTTTCAACATTAAGTGAATACAATAACAAATTATCCAAAGAATTTTCCCTGGTCTTCTTCCTATAATAGAGATAAATATTTCTATGATCATATTTGACCAACAACAAATCTCATTTAATTATTGTTAAATCTCATCTATTGGTCTAATAATTTTAAATTAATTCAGCTAAAATACTTGAGTGGCTGTTAACCAGGAACCCTTGAATTAAGGCTTGTCACCTAGGCTTATCTAGTACATGAAAATCTGATAAAATTATCACTGTGCTAGGGCAACTCAACAATTTTGTTGACTCACCAAGTTATGACATTCCTGTATAAATAATGTTTCAGGAATATTGTTACTGAAATTTAAAACACCAAAAAAATGAAGAATAAACAAAGAACAAATCATTACTGGGATAACTGACTAAACTACACTGGAAGAAAACTTACTACCTTGATCTATCAGGCACCAAATTTAGTTAGTGTTTGATGATGAATATCTTAAAATATTAAAAGATTAAAAAAAAAAATATTAACAAATACAATTACACTTACTGAAAATAGGTTATTTTTTAATTTGCATTTTACTTTGTCTTAACTGGCAGCATTAACGCTGAATTATGTGAGAATACATTAAAAAACATTTTAAAAAACAGAAATACAAAAACTGTAAAACATCGTAAGACTGTGAAAATTGATAAAATTATTTAGGTCAAAAACATTTTAATTCTATCTACACAACTAGAAAAAATAATAAAATGATTTAGGTCAAACATTCTTTAAAGTACAGTAAGAATATCATTTTAATAAAAAATAATAAATAATATTTCAGCTAAAATGTGTTTCCGAATGTTGGTCTTATTCTAATTTACTTTCAAATTCTATTTAAGAGCATATTTCACAGAATACAAATAGTGGCTTATATGTTTTGTATATATTGCAAAAAAAGTGAACAGAGAAGACCATTCTTGGAGAATGTGTTATTTTATTATCAACAGTGTGGGTCTGTAGGTATCCCTTGTTTTGTATGTAGTGTTTCCCTCCATACTTTCAGTATAACATTCAGGTGAACCCAGCATGTGCATTATGTCTTGAGCCTCAAAGGTGTGGTTTTTGCAAAGCAGTGTATGAGTCCTTTGAGGAATAACAGGAAGATGCCGGTAACGAAATCAAATTGCTATGGCACTATGCTTCCATTGAATGCATAGTCCAGGATACTACAATGCAGTTTGCTTAGTGATTGTTCAATTCAGGAAAAAAATAGTAGTATCAACGAATCAATTGGGCATGCTACAATAATAGATCTTTGTATGCCTCTATTTTTACTTTAGTGTATATTAGATTTTGTTGGCTATGGTAAGTCTAGATGATAAATATATGTATCTATTTAATGATTTTCAAATGTCAAAAGAAAAAGTATGTTCTGGCTGAAAATATTTTTCATGAACGCAATCAATACTTTATCATCAGTCTGATTACGGTAATAATATTTGACTTTATAGTGTTTTTAGGGAAAAAATGAAAATATGGCTTCTCTTAGTTTTTTTAGGTAATGTTTCAACATGATGAAAGGGTTATTATATAATTCAAAACTATTGCAATTAAATCTATTTTAATGGAGTTTAAAATAAAGCTTCAGCATTATAAATGAATAATTATATTCTAATTTGGATTGTTGCAACATTTTTTAAGTGTACCATATTTAGAAAATGGTACAGGGGAGAGAAGCACAATATAAAAACTTTTTTTTTGTCTTCAAGAAATCAGTTTAAAGGGGAAGTTACAACAAACAAAATAATAAAAATATAATAATTAAAAACGTTAATGTCATTGTTGAAATTTTTTTTTTTTTTTTAAGAAAGATTTTCAAGTAATGTTTCAAGATGACAAAAGGTTAAACATAGAATTGAAGATAAAAATGACATTTCAGTTAACCAAATTAATCAAACAACCAATCCATCAATCTTGTGAATATTTATTTATTAAAATAATTTGTATAAAAACTCAGAGTGAACTTTCAACAAGGATGACAAAGTGGAAGATATGAGTTTCTATGCCTAGAGGCATTTACAAACTAACATGAATTTGCAATTAGCTTGTCATTGGTGTAACCAGTGGTAAACCGTAACATCAAAGTGAAACATAAATTTAGCATATCCAGTTTGAGCCATCGCCAATAAATCGCCAAGTGTAGGATGACAATATTTAACGTGGGGATGTGGGGTTTCGAAATCTGAACGTATCAGACATTTTTTTTTTATGCTCTGTGCTTGAATTTTAAATAAGATTTTAATTTGAATTTGTTTCGTTTCTAATGTAAAGTTTCAATTCTGAATCATGAAGTTACAAAAACTTTCAATCAGAAACAAAGGAATCTTACAATTTATTTTGCTATTTGATTTTTATTTGAATTTCTTATTGTTTTTTGTGTAGAAGTTTCTGTTTTGAAATACAGAATATTTAATTTTTATTAAAGTATAACAATAAAGAATAAAGTACTATACTAAATTTTAAAAAATAAATCATTTTTGTAATACATATCTTTAGATAACTTCTTAAATACACACTTACATAGGTCATTTGAAAATTTTAAGTGAGAAATATACTGTTTAAAATTTAAAGTAAATATTATTTTAGTTAATCTGAGCCCTAATACAAATTGTTTATACAGATGATGTCCTAGTTAGTTCTAGTAGGTCAACAATTATGGATGGAAAAAAACAAGGGAAATCCTGCTGCGACAGAGCAAAATCATGAGTTGGTGAGGGGGTATCCTTCTAAAGTGACACATATATCCTATTTGCAATAACAGATGCAATTGCTAAAAGCATATTTAAACCACTACAGTAAGGATATTGAAGAAAACATGAGTGATAATGTGCTCGGGAACATCAGTATAGCCTTCAACATTTCCAGTCATTTGCTTAAGTCTATATTGGTTTACTGGAATTTCATAATCTACTTGTTTCCTTTAACTAATATCTGGTTTACGTTTAACTGCACTATCATGAAGACCAATTTCAAGTTCACCAATATTTGTAATTATGACAATAAAACATTTTCTTATTATAGCAATTAAAAAAAAGTGTATAGAGTTATTTTAGCTGTGAAAAAAATTGTAGCATTCTACAGGATTTAAATTCAGAATCTTCCTTATGTTTAATGATGTCATAAAATCTGCAAATATGTATTTAGAGTTACTAACATCAACTGACTTTTGCAATGGAGGCAATTACTAAATAGTCTTTGATCAAACTTAAGCTGTAACTTACTAGATGCTTGCCTTCAAATTTAAAATCCTGGGTTCAAATGCTTTGATTCACTAACATATTTTTTTTTTCATAACTAAAACATTTGCAGTCCCTAAACCTAGGAAAATGGAACATAATTGAATCATAGATCACTGTGTGTCTACTTGAATATGAAAGAAATTTTTATTAAAAAGAGTAAGTTAGCTGATGTAATTACTCTCAAAAGAGTAAATCCAAGTGATCTTGTCTGATTCAATTATAAGTGTGCTTGACCGTTTTATGTAATATTTGTATTAGGAACATAATTTTTTAATGTAAATCTCAATACAAATCCCGCTGATTGTACATAGTTTTTTTTTTTATTAAAGTGGGCTTGACCGTTTTACATAAATTTGTGTTTTTAAATACCGTGAATAGTATTTTTAAATATTGTGAACATGTATTTATATTATGTGTTTTACGTAGATAAGAACATTGTAAATATCACACAAATCAGCAATAGCTGTGGAATATCATAATGAGTAAATCTTGATACACCTTGAACACTGAAACTAGAAAAATCTGAAATAATATGGTGGGGTATTCTTTTTTTTGGGGGGGGGGGGAAGGTGGAAAAGGGAAGAGTTGATTTCTTTAGAATGTATTTTTTGTTATTGATATGTATTTTTTAACCCTATATCTATAACACCATGACTTTTTTGAACATGTACCTAGTTTAAAATACTTTTTTAAATTTAGATAAAAAATACCATAAAACATACTTTTGATAATTAAAACTAATTTACATTTTACATTATTATATATTTTTTATTTATTTTTTATTTTTTTCATTCTTTCAATTTGAAATTGAAAATTTGACTGGGCCCCTGGTCGCCAGGGGCAGTCAAGGTTTAGTGCCAACTGACATGTAACAAATACAAATGAACATTTCTTCATAAGTTTACCAAAGATTTACAAACAATATTTACAATACGAAAAGGAAACTAAATTGAACAAGCTAGTGGAATTGCAAGATAAAAAGGCTAAAAGATGATAATCATCTACAGAAAGACAACACAAGAAGTTCTCTGCAGTATGCCTAGTAGCCAAGATGAGCTATACAAACCATCTTTTATAAATCTATTCTACAATACGCATGCATATTAACAGAAAATGTTATCAGTGTAATAACCTGTATTCAAATTCATTGCAAAAAAAGGAGGTATGGGGATGACTGCCTGACTATTATCATTTAATCTTTTATATAATTAAGTAATATTTAGGAGGTAAGTATTATTTTTCTCCTTTTATTACTTAATGAATAAGATACATTAATGGGAACCTTGCTTTTCAAATTCCAAATATCTTTAAGAGGTTTTAACAAGTTGCATTGCGATTGTCATTGCAACCAATTCAGGAAAGCACGTTGTCCGTGCAAATTTACTAGTGTGTCAGACTGTTAAGTAATACCTGTCCCATACAAAAATTAAAACCCGGAAATCCATCCACGCACTTTTAAAATAAGGTTCAATTTTAATGCACGTTTTCCAAAAATTTGTCTTATTGCACCACCAATTATAACCGTGGTTACCTGTTTGCACACCTATTTTCCTACCTTTATTCCGCGCAAATTTTAGTTAGTTCTTAATATTTCTATCGTGCAAATAATATACTATACAACTGCAACCCAAATGATGAAAGGAAAGCCATACAGTTTAAGCTGCGTTATAAGCTTCAAATGTATTATATCAGTAAGAAACAAATTACAATTTTGATTAGAAAATATATATACACTGGTATCACATTTACTAGTGTTTAAATTTACTATTCTTCGATCCGTTTTCCCTCTCAATGCAATTATAAAGCTGGGTTATTACACAGGTAGTTTGAAGGTAAAATATCTCTTATTTCACGGCAATAACGACATCTTTAAATAATAAAATAACACATTATATTTCCTTCATGCTCGTTACCAGGAGAAATAAGGAAAGGTATATGTCATTTAGAATTATTTGTGAGGACATGCTTTATTCTAGACAGAACTTGCTCAGTGACAAAAAAAAACTGTACAAGAAAACTTCTTTGTGAGTAAAATATTTTTTAAAAAACCACATTTTTTGTTAAGATTCAGTAGAAATAAATTTTAATAGTATCAGGCACAGAATAATAAGGTATGCACGAAGACAGATTAAGGTCTACACAGAGATAGGAAGGGTGTACAGAGAGATAGGATAAGTATGCATGGTGGTAGGATGAGGCGCACACAGAGGAAGGCTTATTGTGCATGGAGATACAATAGTATAATAAGGTGTGAAGCAATGACGAGAGGCAAGTAACTCCCATGCACGACACAAGATTACGTCTCATCTCACCTGCGTTGGGGCTTAGGCCAGCCCTGCTGTCACTCTTCTCGCTGCTTGTTTCCTGGGAGCCAATATCACCTGCATTTACGCACAAACACACATGCGGACCAAGGGTTACTAATAAGCATGCCAACGTATGATAGTGGTAGGTGATGGTAGCTGTGATGGTGGTGGTAATCAGAGTGATTGATATGTATTGCTGATGTTTGTTGAGTTGTTGGTGGTTGCTGGCAATATGCTTTATATAGTGTCATTGTTTACAATTGCGACACTTGTGTTACTAGTGGTTATAGTGACAGCAACTATAGTAATTGGTATTTGTGGTATGGTGACTGTGGTGTTGCTTGTAGCTGTAGTTGTCATATTAGAAGCTATTGAGTTTGGTGGTATTAGAAGCTGTGGTGGTGGCAATGGTAGTGGTAGTTTGAGTGGGGACAGGTTATAGTGGCAGTGGTTTTTGTAGACAAGGGGCAAGACATGATGCAAAATTATCTGGATGCAAAGCTTCCATTCCAGCAGTCAACTGCATCACTACAAAATACCAGGTGCTATGAAACCAGACAGCGAATCATCACACTACTATCAACTTGAGACTCATAAAAGCATGATGTAAACGTATGCATATGAGTCACAAGTTACAGGTGATAGCTGATTTGCCGGGAGTCTCAAGTTACCTGTTGCAGTGAATTGAACCAGGCTTTCTATCCACTATGCTCCATAATATTATATTGCAAAGGATCATTCATACATATTGATACGATTCGTTATCATACATAATAGTATTTATATAGTCATCACTTCCGTTGATATACTATAAAAATATTTAAACAAGAAAAGAAAATATACTTATGACCGATTATTATATCAATCAACAATGATACGTTACCTTGAATATACATCTGATGCTATGACACAAAAGAACTTATACTTACCTTGGAATATTAGAACTAGCAAAATCCAATTCTTAGATCTTTAATTCGACAAACAATTTAAACCACTGTCATGTGGATTAAATTTTAAAGATATATCGTCATCATTTAAAAAAAAATTAACTCATACAGCTAAGGAAGAGTGATCCTGGTATGACGTTCATTAACTCTCTGTCCAAACTATATCAGATTTTCTGTGATTTGCCCATTTATGGCCAAAATGATGTCATATATCACATCCATATTTGGCAAATCACGGTGTACTGTAATTGAATTGTCCCGTAAAAATTGAGAGTGCAGACACAGATTTACAGGACTTTTGCACTTCATTGGATGGTAATGAAGAGTATAATTATAATGGAATGCATTCTATTTGTAAAGTGTATTCCCCAGGATTCAAAAACACTGAGGATTTTCGAAAGTTTTATTTCAACTACCAATGAGGACTGAGCAGATCAGATTTTTTTAACTCCCTGATTTATATCTCACTTAAATAATAACTAGTTCATAACCATAGCATCTGTAATATACAAATATCAATATTAGATGATATAATTTAATAAATCCAAAATATTATAGGCATGTAGATATTCCTTTATTAAAAAAAGGCCTGGAAAATCTTAATTAAAAACAAATTTAATATATGAACCTTGAATAAATTTATTTCATTTTGACATAATTCTGCAATGGCACAGAGTACGATATAATAACTCTATATCATAAAATGAACATTGATTTGATGCGGATAATTTTAATTTGGTTTATATAGAACTTGGTTAAGTCTACTTTCCATGAAGCCGCCACCTACTTGAAAGGAGTCTCATAAAAAAAATGTCTACATTACTAGATCTCATGACACATATTAATAAGTAATAATAATCCTATAGCCATCATAACAAGAAGAACAAAGTAGAGATATGAATATAAAGCAAACATTGGTCTAAAGTAGCGGAGGTGCAATATATCAAATAAGGAACGATGGCATACATTTCAGCTTCTATTGACATCGAACAGGAAAAAAACAATACTCGATTCAAATAAGCTTGTTTTTGTGACCTATATCTAGAAAGCGAAGTGTAGCAAAGCATGAAACCTACAGAAAGGCCAGCCAAAGAGAGTTGAACTCTAGCTAACACACAGCCTAGACCAGATGACCAGACCGGCCCTTATTCAGTTCTATAACTTGGTCGACATTTCAAACGATTTACCAGTATCTGAAAGCCACTTTGGGAATAAATTCACTGCACAATTTGACTGATTAATAAACACAACACAGAGAATGCCGATAAATGTGCAATATATCCAACATTACTGGAGTCTACGACATTTGTTGCCGGCAAAAAATAAATGCCAACTTTACTTTATATTTGTGCGAAAATTCACTCGTGAAAAAAATTAGTAAATTGAGTAATGCATGCCTGAATTATCATTAGAATCGCCATCTGAATAATCAAAATTTTCATAAAAATCTACACATTTATCATTATCATTATATTATATTTGTAATTTACAATTATTAGTTTTCAAAAGTGACCCTACACCTGAATTTTAGCTCTTTTTAATTGTCAAAAGCATTTATCTTTGAACACAGAAGGACCTTTACTCTGTGTCATATAAAATATCATTTTATATGCTTAACAATATCATATTATATGCTTAACAATTTAAGTTTTCACTATATAATGTTTTATATTTCGATTCTCATTTCTACGGTATTTCACTATTAAAAAGAAAGTTCATGAAATTGTATATAAAATGCTCCTTTAAGTATAAAAATAAATTCACATGGAGGAACATCATAAAATAACTAGCAATTAACAATCTTATCCTCCTACACTTGAGACAGGGAAAGAGAATTAAATCCCTCATTATTAGGAATCCATGTGAATGTATACTTATATATAGCTTCAAACATTTACCTACCTTTTATGATCATGCAGAACATTCATCATTGCAATGTAACAGCATTTTTTTTTTCATTATTGAGATTATTAACTGTAATATCATTAATGAGATATCACCAGCAGAAGATATGTGGCATGGCTGTAAAGGCTTCGGGCATGCAACCAAATGGTTGTGTACGAATCCTATGCTGGTCACATTGATTACTCCAACAGCAATATTAACAATGATATGGGATGATCATCAGAAATATCATTTATGACATCATCATCCTCATCGTTAATACCAGATCATCATAGGTGCTTCAAACCAATGGTTGTGAGTATACAATACGACTCATATGGTAGTCACATTGATTTTTTTTCATCAACAATATTACAATAATGTTATAGGATGATTATCAGAAATATAATTTATGGCATCAATATCATCTTTGGTAATAACATTCTTTAATGATAGTTATTATACTTAATACTATATATTGTGTAAATAAATCTAATTGCTTACCTTAGTATGACGTCAAGTAAGTGGGCTCAAAAGTAATGAATACTGCAGAAGATGCAGTTGATCATGTTGTGAAATTACATTATAACATTTCGATTAATTTGTATGAATGAATAAGTAGATTGATTTACACAACTAACCTGTACTAGCTGGCCTTGGCGGTGGTCGTGGGCTGAGGCTGTTCCGTGATATCTGTGGCTGGGGACTGATACTAGTTCGTACCATGTGAGGTTGCGGACTGAGGCTTGTCCTTGGAATCAGGGGTTGAGGGCTTAGGCTGTGCCGAGGATTGTGTTGTGGGGGAAGCATGGCCGACGAGCTGCTAGGCTGGCTGTAATCTGAATGGCTAACACCAGGATGTTGTTGTGATACGGGAATGCTCACTGGCATGGCTGGGGGATAATTGCCATGCATATGGACATCCTGGAGAGAAAATTAAAGAAGTGCGATGTTTACTGTAGCATCATTTACATATACAAGAGAAATGGTACTACTCCATATAATTAAAGTGTAACAATCCAGTACATCATAGTCTCGTGAAGAAATCCATTGTGTGGACAAATACTAGAGAAAATATGTATGGTTTGTCTGTAAGGTCGCCTCCTCATAACTATGACTTTAATGGGAGTTAGTAAACTATACTAAAGGAAACATTGTTTTAGGTAAGAAAGAAAAATCTTACTAAATTTGATAAACAAATTTAAATTTACAACTTCAGTTGACATACATCTGCGAGGTTGGCCTGACATATGAAAAGCACGCTCTCCTTTCCCTAGGTGCAGTTTTAATCTAAATTTTGAATTTCTTTTTATTTTTCATTATGTTCTTTTTCATAATCTTACTTGTACAAAAATGTTTAGCACTCACTTGTACAATAACACACACTCAACAAGTTGTTTATATTACAAATGGTAAAGACAGTTGAGTACACGACCTCATTTTAACTCCTCTTTATCATTATCATTAAAAAAAACTAACTTTAGTACATGTTGCCTTACCTGCGGACGAACCCCCATCATCCTATCAAACTCATCATTTATTTTCTTGTACTTCTCCTCTGTTCTTGGTGTAAGTGTATATTCAGGATCACCATCAGGGCTTTCACATCCTTTGTTTTCTTTTTTATTCAAAACCTTTAAAATACAAAAAAAATACATTTTTTTCTTTTTTTAAACTTGAACCCTTGAATGGCAATCGGAATGTATTAGGTTAAAATTCCAATGGGCAGGAAATATGTTTCTAAAAACTATCATTAATTGATAATATTAAACAAAAAAATATAGGATCTTTTTTTTTCAAATCATTAAAATCATTTTTTATAATAAAGCTGACTCTTTCAAAATTAACAACAATTGTTGGTTTCCATTAAAGACTAGGACCTTAAGAGAAGGTTAGAAAGTAAACTGATATAAAAAAGCATCAACTATCAAATATAAAGTTAACTAATATGAAAATATGATAATTTATCAGCTGGAAAGCTTTGTTATTTAGATATATTTATCACCAGACACTGTATTACCATTATTGATGAGCAATAGTTCAGTTACAAACCAATCGTCAAATTGCTACTGACAGTTAGCTGGCCACAGGCAAAAATGCTAACTGTCCAGATCTTTATTAACTGATGGTATTTGCAGGTCTAGTAAAAAATCCCATCATCACGATGAAAATATTATGTTATCTTTGATTGGTTTAGATAAGCTTCTATGAAGAGTGAACAATAACAACGTTACATTCTGATGTATGATGATTTCATATTTACAGGTATATAGCAACATGTTTTACAATTAAAATAAATACACCTTTTTTAAACAAAAATCGAAAAAGATTTCTGGGTTTTTTATGTTAATAAATCATAATTCTGTAATGGCAACCCTTTTTCAATATTGTCCAATAAATACAGAAAGGTACAGAAAGTCCAAAATGCACATTGTACAGTTATTGTTGTCAAAATGGTGGGAGGGGAACAGCCCTTTAGAATCTGTTCTGCTGCTATCTCTCAAACTATTATTACTCTAGTGGAGCCTTGGATAACACTCTGCCATTCTCATTCAAATGTAGGTGTACAAAATAAACAAATTACGATTACCAAAATCATTTTTGTGATTATCATCAATGCTTCGATGAAAAACAAAGTAAATGAGATGCATCTACATATGTCGCGGAACTGTTCTTTATCGAATTAGTTAAATTTTAAAGCTAATACTCTACATACATCAAACTAAAACCACATCCTCTTTACCTAAGCCTCATATTTATTAAGTCAAAATGTCAGTAGATTTGCTGGACATCGTAATAGTCTTCACGACATGCTGGGGAAAAGAGGGAGTATACCGAGTGGGAAGAGAAGATTAAGTAGGAGGCAAGATTGAGTGGGAAGGGGAGGTAATAATTAGCTGGGCCGCAGGAACGGTGATTGCAGATAAATGACACTTTTCACTACTTAATTATCATGAAAAGGATTATATTACATTTTTCCAAAAAATTATAACATAAACACCTCAATATAACTTATAAGTATCTTAAAATAGTTAACATATAGACACATTATTGTTTTGAATATGAAATTTATGTCATTAAAAATTTGATTTATAATTAAGTAATTGAGTGGGAAGGGGAGGTAATAATTAGCTGGGCCACAGGAAAGGTGATTGCAGATAAATGACACCTTTCACTACTTAATTATCATGAAAAGGATCATATTACATTTTTCCAAAAAATTATAAAATAGACATATCAATATAATATATATTAACATATAAACACATTGTTTTGAATATGAAATTGTATATACTGTATCACTAAAAATTAGATTTATAATTAAAGTAATTGTAAAGAAATAGAAACTTAGAAACTTATTTTTAAACGAAGTTCACAAGCAAACATAGGAATGTCCATTTCTATTTGTAAGGATCATATTACATTTTTCCAAAAAATTATAAAATAAACATATCAATATAAGTACCTTAAAATAGTTAACATATAATACACTGTTTTGAATATGAAATCGCATATACTGTATCATTAAAGATTAAATTTATAATTAAAGTAATTGTAAAGAAATAGAAACTTAGAAACTTATTTTTAAACAAAGTTCACAACCAAACATAAGAATGTCCATTTCTATTTGTAAACTTGTCAAAATACTCTACCTAAATTATGAATATCCTATTTAAAAATCATCTTGAGAATATGCTGACAAATACAGAAAAAAATAGTCTCATTAATCCGAATTTGGTATGACCTTATCAACTCATCTTACTTCCCATCAACTATCCACTAGCTAGCCGGATACAAAGCTCCTGCTAGCGAGGTAAACACTCTTTACATGCTTTATCTTACTTGCACTACCCAAAAAAAAAAAAAAATAGACTACAGGAAATGATATCTAAAATGTTTGCCACTGAAGTGTTTTATTACTAATATTACAGTGGTTATTTCTGCTTGTTTTAAGCGCTGGCCACACTGTCATCTTGTTTCTATGTGACAATTATGTGTGATTTACCCATACATGGACATCATGATATCATAGTACAACCATATATGGGCAATTCATTTGAATTTTTTCACATAAAACCAATTAGTGTGTGTGTGTGGGTTGAAATTTATGGTCCCTGCACCAAAGATTTCTTTAAGTGTTGGATATTTTAACATGTATCAAAAGGTTATTTTAATATAAAGCAAACCATATTTCTATACTATTACTATTTTATACAATATTTATTTATTTATTTATTTAATATTCATTATCATGAATTAGAGTATGACTGTCAGAGTGATTTTCCTTGTGAGCCTATGATGGCATCTTTAACCACTATTGGTGCACAAAAATATGGAAATATTATTGCATGTTTAAAAAAGATATTCATATTACAGAACTTAACATTAATTGTCCATGTATATATTTCATGTTATAAATGACATTAATTTCATTCCAAAATTCTATGAATCTATAAGTTTTACAATTAGTTTTATTTTGCCTTTGTTGTGTGATTGTTTTCTTTCTATTTTGATGATTGTAACTGCACCATTTTGGAAACCAAAACACAAGTATTGCAAATTTCTATAGTTTAAAGGAAGAATAAATACATAGTACATTGTATGTGCACATGGAAAGCATGCGTTAATCTGGGCTTCTGTGTGGGTAAAGTTAAATGAATTGTACAACGGTACTTTTTTTTTGCTATCTCCCCAACCCTCCCCAATCTCATTGAAGACACAATTTTGACTTGTTAGCACCAACCTCCAAATGTTTTGTATACTCATGGAGGTATTATTGAGAAGGAGATCACTCAAAAAAGCTACGCGCATGCAGCGCTATGCAAATGAACCAAGAACAAAGCTGCCTCAGTGCGTGAAGAACTTTTGCGCGATGCCTTTGAAGTCTAATGTGTTCCCCGCCACCAAATGCTCAGCAGGCTTAGATTACCAAAAAAATTTAACATGGCGAAATAGAGCGAACATTCTTTTCTCATTGCGCACTACTTACATTCATTCACTATGGCTGCGCAGTCGTTTACACAATGAAGCTAATACATTGATCTTTCAAGAAATACCAAACATAATAATATTTTCTAAAAAAAAAAGAGTTTTGAATTTAATGAAACATTTACATCAGCTTTAAAAGTATGGTATATTTCAACTTAAATTTCCATAAATTGGATAAAAAACTCGATAATTCTAATTTTAACAGATATTAATTAAGGAATGATGGAGGATTATAATAAACTAAGTCATTTTAGGGTTAACGGGGTTAACTATTCGAAAATTCAATCCAAAATCAGAGTAATTTTCAGTTTTACGCTGCCTCAGTTTTATAGTCGAACCAATCGATCTTTAGACAAAATTATAATGAACACAGAAGTAATTTTAACAGAAATATTTTACGGAATCTGTTCCTCAAATATACACATAATAACATACTAAAAGTCCGCAAACGCAAAATCGCACAACTGCTGTGCTAAAGCGTATAAACGCATGTTGTTGCTAACGAAAAATGTGAATTATAGGGTAACAGAAAATACACCAGCGCGCGATCCAAAGGCGGGGAACACATTGGTTTTTCACGTCAAAGGGATCTGTTGCCGAGTGATCTCCTTCTCGATAATACCTCCATGATATACTGAACCAAAATACTCCCAACTCCTTTAAAGTGCAGAAAGCACAGTAATCATGAACAACTATCTATACAACAGCAGAGTTAAAATCATCGTTATTGTAAAAGCATGATATTGAACATTTCCCCTTCACCTCACTACCATACTACATTTGGATGATGACAACAAATATTTTCATTCAAGCCAATGAACACTTTGATTTATACGATATTCAATAGTCTCATCCACCAATTTACCATAATTAAAATTACCAATTGCAAACAGTCTTTTCCTGATTATAGAGACTTACAACAAGCCCAACTCGCTTAGCTGCGCAATCTCATTAGGGTGTTGGCTAAGCTCTATTCCCATGGTGGATATGAATGAAACCAATATGTGACTGCCAAAGCTTGATAATAACCTGAAAATATTTTTAGAACGTTCTAAGTTCACATCTTACTCTGTTCCAGATTTATATCCACATTATTATTAACATTAGGACATATTGTTAGAAAAGTGATGATGTAGTGGTGGACTCGCATCCAATGAATAATTTTGGAATAACAATATTTTTAGTAAATAGAAGTATAAGGCGCAAGAATGTAAAATAAAAGGGTATGTATGTACTCTCCAATTACATGTGAATTTATCATTTTCTTTGTGGTTTTACATGGATTTTTACATGTACATATTAAGTTACCATGACAATGTACAGTATTAAAATATTGTACCCTGGATAGATAATTTAAATTTAATTTTTCAGTTTTTTTTTTCACGTGTGTTTGCAATTATTTTCTGTGATTCAATGTCATTACGTTTCTTCATTCCTGAATTATGTACATTTATTTGTATTATGTGTAATTTGAATTTTCATTTTTTTTTTTTTTGAAAGTGAAAGTTGTTTTGATTTGATTTGATAATTGCATGACTTCTAATTCTTAACAACAGAGAACCTGTGGATTTATTTGCTAGTAGTGTACAGTAGCTGTAGACAATGAACTTGGAGACGCATACAAGTGTTATTTGCACGTGTGACA